GATTGGGAGAAGAATAAATATCATCTACTCCCATTTTTCTACCCGCTCTGAGCACCGAACGCATCAGGTTATATCTTTTTTTTATTCTTGCTTTTATTCTCGAGTATTTTATTTCTTTTCTTCTCTCTTCTATTTTTTTGCACTCTGGAGTTTTTAAAGGTTTGGCATGCCCGCACTATTTGATTCCTCTTCTTTTGAAACATTGAGCTTCCGCGAATGTTTATGGTCACATTTTTGCTTATGTTTCACTCTTTTATGTTCATTCTTTCTTTTTGCTGGTTGCCTTATTTCGTTTTTGCCGCCTTTCCCTTGACGACGATCTTGATATCCTTTCTTTCCTTTTTCTTTTTCTCTTTTTTTTCTTTTTTCTTTTCTTTTTTTTTTTTTTCCAGTTTTGCAAGTCTTTTCCTCGGAACGAACCACAAGCTGAAATTCTCAATCCTCTTGCTTGGTTTCGGATGATTCCTCCCCTTTCAAGGAATGAATATACCCTGCTGGTCGGGGGGACTGACTTGCTCTGGGAATGAATTTTTACGAAATAAATGTCTTTCCTACTACGGTTTTGCACATACTCTCATGCACACATTCACATATAGCAAAAGAACAGTAAGACAATGCATTTTGTATCTTTCTGGGAGGGGAATCGCAGCTCTGTACTACACAATTCTCTTCTTCAAAATCCCATTTCATTTTTTCTCCTCCCCAACTGCGCCCCTGGTCCTCTGATTATAATATTCCTTTTGCTGCCTCTGGATTGAAAGCTATGATTAGTTTCATTCCTTTTTATATCCTTCCTGTTCTTCTTGTTCGGCGGATGATGTCTTTCTCCCAATTCTACAGTTTCTGCAGTTTCTGTTCCATTGTGTCTTCAGGACCCATGGTCCTCTCTTCTCTTCTCACTCTATCCATTTGATATCCCCTGAAACTGCATTTCTCGAGGCATTCTTAGCCTTCTCTCAATTCCGCTTTGTTAATTTTCTTTGCCTTTTTGCCCCATTTTGTTGTAACATTATTCGTTGACTTGATGTGCTTCCCATTTCGGTGGCGGAACCGAGAGGAAAGGGTCGAAGGAAGAATGAAGAAAGCTAAGTCTTTGTTTTTTAAAACTAGGTACTGGGCTCAGGAAATCAGTTTATCAAGAAGTTTTGATGATGTGTCTTCCCTTGCTTGTTTCTGTTATTCCACTCCTAGTGTATTTTTACAGAGGCTTTTCTGTATTTGGTCACGAATGAATTGAATCCAGAAACCCCTAGGTAGTAGGTCCAGGTATTTACATGTACTCTGCTCGCCGCATGTTCAGGTAGGTAATGGAACACGTTTGATTCTTCTTTTCATGAGAGTGGGTCACTTATGCTCGATTCAACGCTTGTTTAAATGTATGCCTATATATTTGCCCTCGACAATGAGGATGCCTCACTTGGAGATGCCAGCAATCTAGCCATCCTCTGTCAAGCCGTATTTCGTTGTTTCGCTTTCCAGATGGTACCGTACATAGCTCCCCAGGTATCAACTCATCGCCCCTTGGCCCGCCCCACCTTTTTTTCGGCGGGCTTCATAGGGCTTCGTTGGGAAGTCCGCCCAGCGCCTAGAGTTTCTCCACCAGCGATAAGAGAGGGAAAACTCAACTGTTAGTTGACTATTAACTAGTTACCTGGTTGCTTACATATTGGCCATGACATCTATTCATGCTCTCAATTTTGTTTGTTGAAGAAAGCTTCAAGATCGAAGGAGATGTCCGAATTTATGCCCGAGTGCCTAACAGATACCAGAAGGTAGTTCTCTGTTTGACCGGACAACATCCACCGAATCCTCCTTTAACGGTTTCAACTCCACCAGTCGAAGCCCAAGCAGCCAACCAGCCAACCAGACCGCCAGAATCAGACTCCACAGAGTAAACAACAACCGGGACAAGCGACAGGAACAGCGCAGACAAATATTCATCCCCTGAGAAAAAAACACCAAGGACTAAAGCAGAGACATAACAGCCCAATAATTTATACCTAAAATTAATTCTCCCATTTGACCCATAAAGGGGGAGGCGCAGTGCAACTTTCAAAAGAGAGGGAAATAATAATAAAAAAAAAGAGTAAATAAAAAAAAAGAAAAAAACTAGTTGGGTTACTGAACACCAAACCAAGAATTTCCCTCACTTACTTTCCCTCCCTTTTTGCCTCCTCCGAGATCTGATCTATAGATAAATACTACAAAAACTTACCTCAACAGCCACATTCCACCCTCCACTCCTCTCCACTCCTCTCTAAATAGAAGACCCCATCTCCCTTCACCACCCCACTCTCTCACAACACCCGCTTTCCTCCTCCAAACCGTACAGTTATTCTTATCCAAACCAGCACAGCTTCCATATCACAAGCACCAAAAACCACAGCCTTGAAAAGGTAAAGGGGAAAGAAAGAAAGGAGGAAAAACGGAAACAAAGCCAGACAGCCCCAGCACGATGAGCAACTCCTTAATCACTCCCTCGCACCCACTCGAACTCGAACCCAAGTACGACGACTATGACTTCCCAACCACCGCCCCAGACGCCCAATCGGGTCACCCAGGCCATACCACCCCCGAGCAGGATGCACAGGTCTTCCAGCTACGGACCATGCTCGAGCAGCTGGGCTATACCGAGCGTCTGGATACCTTGTCCCTGCTGAGGTTCCTGCGTGCGAGGAAGTTTAATGTGGAGGCTGCGAAGACTATGTATGTAACCGTATGCCTTGTTGGAATGGTTGTGGTTGAGATATTATTTTTGGTTAGCGGTGGGTGGTGCTGCTTGGACTGGACTGGACGATAGGAGGGGTAGAGAGATATATATCTATACAGAAGATATATCTTGATATTTCTATGAGTGGATTGAGGTATACTGACGGCCATGTTGTTTGTCAGGTTCGTTGATTGCGAGAAATGGCGGCAGGACTTTGGCACGAACGATCTCGTGCATACTTTCGAGTACCCGGAGAAACCGCAGGTGTTTGAATATTATCCACAATATTATCACAAGACAGATAAGGTACGATATTCTGTTCCCTTTCTTACCTGCTGCCCGTTCCTCCGGGAATAGATGTAGAAGGCGATATATCAATCCCATCCTATCCCACACCAACAGCATCAGCAGACTCCAACTAATCAATCTTTACCCTATTATCCAGGATGGCCGCCCCGTCTACATCGAACAACTGGGCAAAATCGACCTAAACGCCATGTACAAAATCACCACAGCAGAACGCATGCTCCAAAACCTAGTCTGCGAATACGAAAAGCTCGCCGACCCTCGGCTCCCCGCTTGCTCGCGCAAAGCCGGCCGCCTCCTCGAAACCTGCTGTACAATCATGGACCTCAAAGGTGTGGGCATCACCCGCGTCCCTTCCGTCTATGGCTACGTCAAACAGGCCTCAGCCATTTCGCAAAACTACTACCCAGAGCGTCTGGGCAAATTATACCTCATCAACGCCCCCTGGGGCTTCTCCAGCGTCTTCAATGTCGTCAAGGGCTTTTTGGATCCGGTTACTGTACAGAAGATTCATGTGTTGGGCAGCGGGTATGAGGCGGAGCTGTTGGCGCAGGTGCCCAAGGAGAATCTACCAAAGGAGTTTGGGGGGGAGTGTCAGTGTGAGGGTGGCTGTGCGTTGAGTGATATGGGTCCTTGGCAGGAGAAAGAGTGGGCGAGGGAGCCCAAGTGGGCGAAGAAGGAGATTCATGGTAAGAAGAATGAAAAGAAAGAGGTGAAGGAGGTGGAGGGGGTGGAGGCTTCGACGGCTGAGAAGCAGAAGGATACGGCGAAAGAGACGGCCAAGGGGACTGTTAACCTGTCGAGTAACGGGGAGCTTACGGCGTAGAATTCTATTTTCCCTCATTTTCCCCTCTCCTCCTCCCCCCCTTCTTCTTTTCTTTTTATTTTCTTTTCTTTTAAATTTTTTTTTGTTAAATTTTACTTTTTTTTGCTGTCCAGTGCGGCCTTTTTGATTGACACGAGAGGAAAATGAGATGGGCGCGTGCCTACTGTTCTTTTATGCCATATATATATATTTTGTGCCGTTGCAGTCCCCCTTATTTATTTTCGAATATATGTTCCAGTCCACATCGCCTTGATTTTGAGAAAAGAAATATTTATACACGATGTTTTGAGCTTCCTCCACACCCTCTATAAAAAGACCGTTAGATTGATGTATGTCGCCTTTCAGCATTTACCACATGTCTACTCCCTTGGTGTTCTCTAGCCAATTCACCTCCTTCATCACATCTGTTCCATTCGCCCAGTTGATCTTGCTTTGTCTGTCTGTTTGGTTGCTATCTCCGAAAAGAAAATGGGTCCCCATATGTCGTGCGCGTATGCAACTTTATTCCACCCCTGTTGTCGTAACTCTTAAAGTTATTACCGTCCCAATCTTAATCCTTGTACTAACATTTACTTCTTTTTCTATACATTTTAACCTAAATTTTTCCAGATTGCAGGTCTATGTCTCCTGGTCTTCAACAAAACCACCTATCTGCACTGTGTCTGTTGGTTAGCGGGCTAGTCACTTAAAAGCATGTTCTTTTCTAATTATTCACATGCTTTTGACCTACACACCCTTGTAGAGAAGTATATGAAGGGAGAGTCGGAAAATAAAATAAAAAGAAGAAAGACGAAGACAGAAAGTAAAATGGAGGATAGAAATTAGGAAAATATCTGTCTGGTTTTTGCTCTTAAGAGCGCTGATAGATATCCTGTCGTTGATCTATTACTTATTCACACATGTAACGAAATTGCAAAGAGAGGCGACTGTGAGTATATACGGGTTAATTCATTAAGAGGTATCTTTTCGCAAAACGCCAATTAAAAGACAACATCAATACCCATCCCATTTCCAAGATGCAATATCCAATTGCCCAGTTCCCAGATCCCAGAGCCCAAAGACTCTGAACACCAGCCGATCCCATTTAAAAGCAGTCCAAAACGCCCTTCTGGAAACAAACAAAATCAAAATAGAGCAGAAGACACAGATGAATCATGATCATAAATGCTCCACTACCTCCGCCGCCCTCCTTGCCCTCTCTACCTTGCCCACCGTCGCTGCAAGTCCACTATCGCCCTCAACTTCATCCCCGCCTGCCTGTACATCTGCATCCCCATCCTGCAACCTCACCAACGTCTTCAATACGTTTGCATACACCTCCTCCACCCCCCCTTCAATCCACCTCCTCCTCGCCCCCTCTGTACTTCCAAATGGAACATGCAACGTGAAATCCTGCTTGCTGTGACCCTCTCTGCGCCTTCGTCGTTGACATCGTACCTGTGCCGTATCACCCCCTTCCCCTCCCTCTCCCTCTCCAACATCCAGCATACTCACATCCCCTTGCTCCTCCCCTTCCCCTCCTTCCTCCTCACCCCAATCCTCATCATCCTCCAGCATAACCCCCCTCAACGCCTCAGCATACGCCCCCGCCGCCCTCCCCGGCGCATCACGCCTCAGCTGCGCCACCGTCGTCGTCAACGATTCCAACTGCGCATACAAAGCCGCCACTCGCGCCGCCAGCGCCGTGTCATACGGTTCATACTCTATTGTCTCTTGCGCGTGCAGAAATGAGATGGGCCCTGCAACATCGTCCGTGCCATCTGCATTACTGCTGCTGCTGCCGTTTTTAAAAGATTCGGCCGGCGAGAGGCCATTGATGCTTATGGAGGGGGCGGCAGTTAGGAAGGTTTTGTAGATGAAGTCGTCGACCAAAGTGCGGACGCGGGATTTCAGGGGGTCATTGTCGGGGTCTTGGTTGTGGTTTTGGGTGGAGGTTGGGTCTGCGACTGCGGAGGCGGAAGGGGGGAAGTGGAGATCTAGCTTTTGGCGGGAGAGGGAGACGATATTTGTGTAGAGGTATGAGAGATCGGCGGGTGATTGGAGTTCGATTTTGCGGTGGTGAGGGGCTTGCATTTTACGGCCGCTTTTCGGACTGGTTAGGTGTCTTTTTTTTTCTTTTTTTCTTTTTCGGTTGGGGGCAATATCCCCTTTATCCTCGTATCTCTGTGGGCAAGGTTAATGAGTAGTGGAATGATGCATTAGAATTCTTGTATTATTGTTCAGTGTTTTTTGGTAGACGGAGATATTTATATGAAGTTATCGCGATGTTGATATGAAGGCCCAATTTGGCTTAGCGTCGATGCATGCACGATGTCATCGCGGGAATTTGGGAACTTGGAACTTGTTAAAGAGGACATACCAACCAACCACCAACCTCCGCGACAACCACGAAAGCAGTGGCAGAGATGAGGGGAAGTAGAAGAAAAGATCTCGGGAGTAACAAAGCCCATTCGAGACCTTTAGGAAGCTTTCTCTCTGCTGCTCTATTCGAAACTAACTAACACACCCATAGTAACCTCTGTGGATTAACGATATACACCGATGGAGCTGCAGCATTAGCAGTCCGCGACTGCTTTCAGACCACTCGCACCGTCATTTATCGCCCCGCCAGCAGACGATTTAACGCACCGCTTTTGCTCTTTAAAATTGGCCATTTCTACTCATGGTCACTACTAAGTCCGTTTAAACCTCTTCCTTCATACTTGCTGCCGCCATTTTCTCAGAAACAATGTCGATCAGCAGCTCAAAGATATCCCTCGTCGACAATACTGTGCCTGATCGAACCTCCCGTATTGGTACGGGTGGGGGAGGGGAAGATCTAAGCCTCTCAGCAAGCTCACCCACGTTTACCACAGTGACGAAGAAATTAACAAAAGAATCCGTGAAAGATAGCTTCCAACGAAGGAAATATGCGAAGTTCCAGAAGAATAAATATGGCAACGGAGATGGACACGACGGTGTCGAGGGGGAGGGTGAAGGCCGACTCAGCCTGGATATATCTCCATCTCACCGGGATTCTCCGGACAGAGCGGTAGAACAGCAGACCCCGAAAGGCAATTTCACGAATCCCAGCAAACAGACTGCCGCCGAAACCGTTGAGGTCGCGTCGGAACCTGCCGAGGTCCTTCCAGACCCCTCGTTGTCCCAGGGACACCCTGGAGCGGGCGAAATCAGCGAAATCGACGTGTTGTACGAGAACCAGCGCGGCTGGTGGTTCTTCGGTGTCCCTCTGTATTCAGCAAAGTCACTACTGCATCTGGACCCATCTGCCTGGCTCACCCGCAACCTCGAGGATAGCCCCGTCAACATCACGAATGCGCAGGTGCCCGACCCCAGCTGGGAATGGGCGTGGGATACGTGGTATATCGACATGTCCTACGATGTCGATGAGGGCGGGTGGCAGTATTCCTTTGCGTTCTCGTCGCGGTTTGGGTGGCATGGGACGCATCCGTGGTATCACTGCTTTGCGCGCCGGAGACGATGGTTGAGGAAAAGGGTTAAAAAAGTTAGCATTGGGGCTGAGGAGGATATTGTTATGGGAAAGACGCGATCCTTAAATGAGGTTTGTTTTACGGTTAGTTCGTGTCGGGCGCCAAGTGTTGGACTTCGGAGTCGGCGGGTAAGCCGTGGGACGCTTTCGAGTGCGGGTGAGATGAGAGCGGATGACATTTTGCCTGACGATATTACCAATATCGGTATGTTATTGAGCGCGATGAAGATGGCTCCGTTGGATAGAGATAAAATTCTCGCTATTCAGCATTTCGTGCAGCATGGAGGGGAGGACTTGTATTTTTTTCCGGAAAAGGTATGAATTCATCTACCCTGTTACCTTTCTGTATGTTTCCTGCTTCTGCTCTTTTCAAGGATTTTGTCTCAAACTTTGTCGATGCCAATTGACACCTCTGTTTCTGCCTTGTTTATTACAGATGCCCGAGATTCTATCACTGTTCATGTATAAAACCTCCTATCGTCACCTATTAGACTACTTTATACGGACTATTGAGAGCATTCCCGCAACATCTAAGGGGGCTGAAAAACGGAAGCGAGAAAGCCTTATCAAAGTCATTGAGGACGAGAAGCTGAAGGGGCTGCATTTTTGGAGTGATAAAAAGGCAGTGGCTAGGGAGGAACGCCCTCTATTGACAGATGGCGGAGTGGGCGAATCGGATGACCACCCTTCCCGAAGATCCAAAGGCAAGGAAGTTGTGCGGAACGTGGAAGACAGGGAGTAAGGAGCATTAATTAGTTATGGTATCCGTCCATGGCGGGATACGGAGATATAGCACATAAATATATGCATCACCGGGGTGATATAGTTTTTTGAAGTTGTTCAGTGGTTGTCTCTGCAATGCTTGACATTGACAGTTGAGCCATAACTTGCTTGTAAGCTAGTTATATCACCTTACTGCCCTTTATCCTGCGCCGTCTGATTAGCTATTAAATATTCCGTTTTTCGGTGCTTTGGAGACGTTAAAACCGAGTCCCTCATTCAGAAGTCAAGGAGAAGAGGACTTCACGTGACCAGCACATAGCCTAAACCTTCCCTTTATATTTCTTCTCTTGGGAAGTGCAATATTAGGCGAAAAAATATCTCCGCAAGATCCAAACCTCAAAAATGCATCTAACAAAATCATCACTTAGACTCTACCTACCTTAAAGCGCTACAGCATAGCTGATGCACCCACGAGCAACCAAGATTTCGCAGTATTTTGCCTGCCACTGAGAGTTTTCACCCCAATGCTCTCTGGGACCCACCGGGGTCTGAGAAACCGGGTGTCATTCTCTCTAGCTCCTTGCGACCATGCCGCATTCTCTCGCAATGAGCCCTTTTTACCGTTTTTATACCCGCGCGGGTTCCTTTTTACACTGACCTGGGAGAGGCATGGGCAGGGCCCAACCTACCCTTTCATATCAGGCAGTAAACGGTTAAATTCAACTTCCTATCGTTGCAGATTTGCCAGCGTCACTCTTGATACCTCGCGCAAATATTCTGGGGAAACACAATCCTCCATTTCCGATTCCCCACCAACGGATTCAAATCTTGCGCAGCATGATAAATCAAGCGAAGTTGATAATGAAAATTCATGGAAACCGGGCGGATACAAACAAGCCGACAGCAATGGTCTTGGACCAGGTCCTAGTCCTCATGGTCCGGTCATCATTCGAACTGTCCGTTCTGAGCCGTGGTGGATTAATAACCCTCCAGGCGGGAGGCGACAAAAAGAAAATTACGTATATGAGAAATGGATGGACATAATGAACGAGATCAAGACTTTACCGAAAGCTGCTGCGGACAAACCCCCTCCCGAGTATGCCAAAACCATATACCTCTCTGAAAGAGATGTTGTTACCTTAACTGGATACGAGTGGGAGAACTTGTGGTATGTCAAAACGTTGAGCGGATGCCGAGTCCATGTATTACCACGGGAACATGATTCCGAAGATTCGATGCGCAAAATCGTACTCACGGGTTCTCGGGAGGCTGTTAAATTGACTGAGGAGGAAATTCGGGCGGAAATCCAAGCGTCTTATGATTTTGGGAATTCTCCTGACTCTTTACCCCCTTTTGTGTTTGGACACGAGTGGAAGGGGAAGCAAGATATGGATATCCCAAGGATACGGTCTGTCTGGACACGCGGAGAGCGGTTGATGTCTGACGGGGAAAGATCTAGGAATCCGATCCGGGCAGATGAAATACGAATACCGCAGCAGTGGACTATTAAAAGTTTTGGCGACTATGTCGAACGGATAGTCAATCTGGCCTTCTCAAGCCCTGTCCATCGTCAGATATATCAAAATGGGACTCGAAATCGAGACGTTATTATGGGAATTATCCGCGATTTGTTTACTGATTCCAAGTTAGGACAGTTCCTGTCTACCCGAGCGGTGAATTTAGCCATATTCTTCTGCTATCGATACCCTGACTTTTTACCAGACCTTTTACAGCTATTTCCTAGATATGAGCATCTGATGACCACAAGGACTTTCAATGCACTCCTGAAGGGTTGTTCGAGAAACCATGACCTGGAGAGATTTCGTTATATCATCACATTGATGAAACGGTTTAGGGTTAGACCGAATGGTATGGAATGGGTGACTTTCGTCGAAACAATCTTATCCTCATCAATCAAGCAAAAAGTGGTCGCGAGCCTGCGCAACGATGGACTTTTGAATGACCAGACTATCCTCCGTCTTCTCATATATGAGATCATTCCTGTTTCCTTCAGATCTCATCTGGATAGCGGCCAAACAGCCCAAGATTATTTTGAAGTCATGGATAGGAGATATGGACATGACTGGATGTGTACTGATATGGTCAACAGAATGCTGAGAGTGACGAGATGCAACAAGGATGTTGATGCAGCTCATCAGATTATACGGCGCTCTAAGGAACGGCATATACAACTGGATACGCAGTGCATGAACTTTTGCCTCGCCTTGTACCTTAACAAGGGCTGGTACCCTCAGGGACTCTCCTTCTATTTGGACTTTGTCAATGACTTCCCAAATGTAGCAGTAAATAACGAAACTGTCCGCATTCTTTTTAGCCTAGCCTGGAAAGCTAAATATTATAACACCTGCCGGGTTGTTTGGAGATATTCCTGCCTCTTGGGCCTAGCAAGCTCGAACATGAGACATCTGGTTTTGTCCTCCCTTCTCCGAAACACCATCCATGACCCCGAAAACTACCACCAAGACTGGCACAAGAAAGTTGGTAAGGTCGTTGTCGGGATCGAAACCAGCGTTGCCGATATTGGCACGCGCTTTGACTCTCGTGATACTGATGGATCAACCGAACCTGATCAACCTCTGTTGGATGACAACAGCAGCCTCGTGTCATTGCTGGTAGATTATCAACCCAACGGCGAATTACGGGATAAGCAGCGGGAACTTGCGATGAATGCCATCGACAGGGATGCTAGGGCGACGTGGAGCTTTAAGCCTCAGGCAACATTCGAGTATATGATGTGGCAGGCTCATGAGATGGATATAGCGTGGCAATCGACTCCGGGCTCTGCAGACATGTCTGTTGATGAACTGGTTCGGAGAGCAATTGATGTCCCCGTAGTTAAAAGGCTGATGGCCGGTAAGTGGAAGAAAAGCCAGGTCTCTGGTAAAAGGGATGAAATTGGGGAGGTTTGGGGGGAAGGACATGAACAAGATAAATACAGTGAGGAAGAAAGAGAATATGGGATGGGAGAATCTGGTTTACATGCCAAATCTGCCAGGGCACAGGGGGAGACTAAGGAGATAAGATCAACGCGGAGTGGAAATACGATTTCGGTGGAGGAGGTTCGGGATTTTTTGGAAAGACGGGGAATATCGTGGACAGGAGGGGAGAAGTCTTCGAAGGGAAGGTAGTGGTAGATTTAAAGCTTGCGACTGAAGTGAAGGTCGAGAAGATGCCCCTTTTTCTATCTAAGATAACTGTATGCCATCTGGACCTTTTTGCTTCCTCCCTTTTATGATAATATTATAGCGGCATTGATGCGTTATACGGCTACATCAAAAAGCATCTCCCCTTTTTCTGCGTGTGCTTCTATTTCCGTTTGCTATTTTCTAAATCTTTTCGTTGATGCTTGCGAGGATACCAAGATAGATTATTGAGTTTTTGTTTGCTATACTTCGGTGATTCTCATCTGGTATACTTGTTGTCTTGGGCATGTCATTATATAAGGGACATATCCAGCTTTCCATGGTTTTCCATATTCTACTCTGCAGATGGGATATTTTGGACTGGGTGCTTTGTATATTACTCATTGCGTATATTCGCATAAACGCCTCGCTAATTCATAGAAATGGATTTGAATTCGATAAAGGAAGCCTCAGATCCACGCATGGATTTCTACTCTCCGTAGACTACTTTGATTAAGTATATTGACCCGGTCGCTATTTGAGAGGTATTTAGCTTTTCAGGTTAAAAAGGGTTTTTAACCTGCATTTTGGTGGTTATCCTTTGCGGGATTCTAAAATCAATTTGCTGGGAAATAGACATGGCTATCGCCAACTTGGAGCTAACAATCTATGCTCGGATCCCATGAAATCCCGGGATTCCGAGCCTGGAAAAGTGTTGCTTCATCGCCATTGTTACTCCATTCATTTCAATCAGCCACGGGATATCTCTTCAACCTTAGCTAAACACAAATACCTAAGCTCTGACACACGATCTACATCATAAATTCCTCTCATAACGTCCATTTTCAATCCGTAAACCATAATCAATAAATATGGTGCCCCGAATGCTCCCCGTTCTCATGCCGTGGCAACTCTTGAGGATTATATCCGTACGGGTCGAGGGTGGTCGGAATGGACCCCACACCCTCCTTCAGATAAAGCACAAGCCGGAATGCGGAGTTGCCATTGAGATAGTAGCGATGCAGCTGCTTGCTGCGTAGGAAGCCCAGACGTTCGTATAGTTTCATAGCTGCAGTATTAGTAGTTTCGGTTTCGAGGACGATCTGAACGTAGATCGGGCGTTAGTTGGTTGCTTGTGTTGGAGGGGGTTGTTAAATACGTGAGTGGTACCCATAGTACACGTGTGCGGCGTGAAGTGGGTGGGAGACACTGCTTTTGTGATGGACACAAGGAGAGGAAATGGAAAGAATGTCACACCTCGTCTGCATTTCTAGCGGTCATTGCATCAATAGCCATACACACAAGCTTCGTCGCAATGCCTTTGCCTCTGTGTTCTTCCTTCACAGCTAACATGGCAATATAACCACGTAGCGGCCCGCCGCGATGTGGTTCGAGCTTTGACACGACAACCCCGATCAGGTTGTCTTTTTCATCCATTGACTATATACATATATTAGCCCGATCAGTGTCGACAGCAATGAGTTCTTATGTACGAAAGGGGGGCACTTCAGCTGGGATATAAAAAGGCGGTGACTGACCATGTAGCACAGGTCACCCCATTGATAGAGAAAGTATCTGTAGACATAGATGCTGTACGGCTCGGAAAGGTCTTTGGAGATCAGCTGGCGCATTGCAGAGACATATTCGTTCTCCTTGTCGCTTTCATATTGGACATAGCGATGTTGTTCAGCGACAGCCGGAGCGCTGGATGCCGCATTGTCAGGCATCGTGGACGTAAGAGAGTCGGGGTTGCGGTTTCATAGGGAGCTTTTCTTTTTTCCCATTTAATTTTTAACAAAATACCTGCATCATAAAACGGCCATTCACCCCAGGAAGAGTAAACCCTCAGTCAATCTGTCTGAGTGAGCGAGCTCCAGGTGGGGAATGTTAGCTGCGTAAGGTTGCCCGCCTAAGTTCCAAAAAAAAAAAGCTTGGGTGTTGTTTTGCACTGGCCAACCATCGTTCATCTCTTCCCAAATACGTTCGACAAACATCACCACAAAAGTCTGCACTTTGTCCCTCTTCCCATGTGATTCCCCGCCTGCAAGACGGGCAGGTCAGCCCAGTCGACGGCATCTAATCTATGTATTTATCAATATATAAAAATAACCAAAGTCTCTGAAATTCCCGCCGAGAAACCATAATTGATATTTACCCTACATACACCATGTCAAGCCTCCGCCGTCGAGTCGGGAATATATTCGCGTCCACTCGCGCCAGCTCTACACCCGGCGCATCCGCCGCAGCTACCCCCGACAACGCCAGCGACGACAACAGTGGAAGCAGCAGTAGCAAGAATGCTGTGGTGGTGGATGACAATGGAGGGAAAAAGCTTCGTTTCGGCCCAGCCTTAGAACTTCAGGAAATCTCTGTCAGGCGGAGGAGTAAACGGCGTAATGGGTTGATATTCGGACTTGGAGGCATTTTTGGGATATTCTTAGCTCTATTTTTTGCAAATCAGAATGAAGTCATTAGTTTGGATGCTCTAATGGATCTAAATTTGGATTCGTTAATGGATGTTATGCCGGCCGGCATTATCAGAGATGCCAGCCAGTTCTCGGTATTGCCCTCCTCTATTACCGCTCCTGGTTTTCCTCCTCTCGGGGTAATCGCTTTCAGTCGAAGCTAATTGTTGGTATTCTTCTTATCATGTAGCAAACGGAACGGGAAGCGGTAAGCTATGATGCCTTTTCGGTTGGCCTCAGTCTTAAGACTCAGGGAATAACCGCAAACCATTCTATTATTATGGTCCCCGGAGTGATATCAACGGGGCTGGAGAGCTGGGGAACTGATGAAAAGTCAAGACAATACTTTAGGAAAAGGTTGTGGGGAAGTTGGACTATGATGAGGGCACTCGTTCTCGACAAATCTAGCTGGAAAAATCACATTATGCTCGATAAGTTTACGGGACTTGATCCCTCGGGTATCAAGCTTCGAGCTGCGCAGGGTTTTGATGCGACAGATTTCTTCATCACGGGTTACTGGATCTGGAACAAAATTTTGGAAAATCTTGCTACCATTGGTTATGATCCAACTAATGCTTTCACTGCCGCTTATGACTGGCGACTTTCCTATATTAATCTTGAAAGGCGCGACCATTATTTCAGCAAGCTCAAGGCATACATTGAGACGGCTGTGGGACTTTCGGATAGGAAAGTTGTTCTTGTTTCGCATAGCATGGGCTCTCAAGTAGCCATGTTCTTCTTCAAATGGGTTGAAAGTTTGGAGCATGGGGGAGGAGGCCCTGACTGGGTAGAAACACATATTGACTCGTGGATTAATATTAGCGGCTGCATGTTAGGGGCATCCAAGGGAGTCTCAGCTGTCCTGTCAGGAGAGATGAAAGACACTGCACAGCTGAACGCCTTTGCAGTCTACGGGCTCGAGAAGTTTCTCTCAAAGGAAGAGAGGGCGGATTTGTTTCGCGCCATGCCTGGTATATCGAGCATGCTCCCCAAGGGTGGAGACGCTATTTGGGGAAATAGCACATGGGCGCCAGACGACCAAGAAGGCCAACCTTTCACCTTTGGTAACTTCATAAATTTTAAGGAGACGAATTCGTCAAAGACGCAAAGCAACCTTACCGTAGACGGCGCGCTACCTTTCCTCTTCAAGCACACGGACCAATGGTACAGAGATCAGGTCCAGCAAAATTACTCTCACGGCGTTGCTCATACGACAGCAGAAGTCGAAGCGAACGAAAAGGATCCACGCAAGTGGCTGAATCCGCTTGAAACCCGCTTACCCATCGCCCCAAACTTGAATATATATTGCTTCTATGGCGTGGGCAAGCCTACAGAGCGGAGCTATTTTTATCATGACGATATCGATCCCTTATCGAAGCTGAATGTCAGTATAGATACAACAGTGACGAACGGGATTGTGGATCGAGGAGTGGTCATGAGCGAGGGCGATGGCACCGTCAACCTGCTCAGTCTGGGATATATGTGTGTGAAGGGATGGGGGATTAAAAGATATAATCCTGCTGGTGCAAAAGTTAAAGTGTATGAGATGCCGCATGAACCTGGTCGGTTCTCGCCTCGTGGAGGCCCGAATACAGGTGAGCTACATGGACGCTTAATATTATCACTTGTGCGTTTTACCCTCTTTACCAAAACATGTTATTATTGTTATTGTCATTGTTATTATTATTCATGGGAAACCATCCTCTGACGATGCACACATATGTTTAGGTGACCATGTCGACATTCTTGGTCGATCACTCCTCAACGATTTAGTTCTTCGTATCGCCAGTGGGAGAGGTGACATGGTGGAAGACAACTTTGTCTCTCGAATAAAAGAATATTCTGACCGCGTTAAGATCAGCGAGGAGGAATGATCATTATGATCATTGAACCCTCTAACTATCTATCATCCATCTTGTACAAACAAAATGACCTTCATGGATTCAGTTCTTCTTTCCTTTTCTTCCATTGATTTTTGGAAAATCCTTGGAAACCATACAGCCCTTCTCACATAACCACCGTCATTAATGTACAGAACCTGTAATATTTCCTTTATCACTTCTCTCCTGTATATTCCTTTTTCTTTTTCTTCCTTTCTTCTTCCTTTTTTTTTTTTTTTTTTTTTTTTTTTGGGCAAACAACCGTTTTCCCCCTTGGTCTTTGTTTTGGAGAGGTTTCAATCATCCTTTTTGTCCCCTATATCCCTCTTCTCTTTTGCAATTATAGATGGCCTGGTAGCAATTGCCACTTCCCTTTGCTGTGTTCTGACTGACTATGGCTAGGTTTTTTGAATATTGTTTATACCTCAAATGGCAAACAAACCGCGATGAATTTCATATCTCATTCTGAGAACATTTTTCTCTTCTGAGCTTCAGTTTTATGTTAACACATCTTCAGAAATAATTTGACTTGGGTTACTACCAAAACCCTATTACTGTATGTGTTGAGGAAGGGTGTCAAACTTATCCCATATTTTTGCACATGGTGTCTGAGTGAAGAGACAGAGTATTGTGAGGTACCTACAACAGCAGCTTGAATCATGGTGATTGAGTGTTCCAGAACCCTACGCACATATGAGAGCACAGAATACATCATATCGTGGGGGTGGTAGATACTTCAACATTGCAGGTATACAGATGAATGAACACTTCATCACAATCATACTTTTTCATACACAATTGGAGTCTTCCTTAAAAGACAGACCTCAGGGAGACGGGAGGGAGAGAATTGTGGGTAAGGAAAAATCAGGCATAGATTGAAATTTGGACAACGGCCATGGTGATCAACTAAATATTTACAGAAATTTGAGGAATAAACATCTCAACGTATTCAAATGCACAAATTTTCTAAACCCACCACATGCCCTGGCATAACTAGACCCCGTAGCTGACATGTAATCATTCGATTCAGCGGTAGGAGGAGAGGATGAAAGGTCAGATTCAATTTTTTTTTTCCAGCGTTTGAGGAACTCTTGAAAATCACAGCATTTTCCAACCACCAGAGTGGGGATGAAGAGAGCTGACGAGCACGGAAGAACTTGGGCATTGAATATTATAACAAAACCTTTGGACAAATGAAACGCATAACGAGAGGGGAAAATTCAACGGAATGTGGGAATGGAAAAGAATAGAAAAGAAAGAAAGGGTATGAAGAAAGAAAAATAGGAAAATAAAAATAGATCAGAAATGAAGTCTTCTCTTTTCACATGTTTATCACCGCCTTTTCTAGATTCCGCAAAAGCAATAAACAATTCAGAACAAAAGGTCCAATTGAAAACGGGTTCGTATCCGCAGTTATTGTCGATTGTCCGTTTTGTTTGTGACTCTCTAGTGGTTGGTTTCGAAGACCATTGAGTTTCAAATGACACCGCGCAACTGCCGTCTCACGGATTCGCCGTTCGTCTTTATACAGTCCAACAGGCACCACACATTTTGTTCATCAAAGTATTAAATTCAGATTTCAATGTTTTGTGAACTTGCTGCGCCCTGGTAGTTAGCTATCGTGTTATTAAAGAGTAGTCTTCGACCTCAAAAACATCCATTCATTCATGCACGAGAATATGTGTGAAAGAAATCAGCGAGATAACCTCCGCGATATTTACGAAGTATATCCCTGGATACTTTTTTTTAATATTTCGGGCTGATCCAAGATATATAAGAGATACGGAGAAGTAAGATGAATGCATCAGCATCATCGCCAGCAATTACGAAGGTTTTTTCCAGATCCTGAGTTTGCCCTGGTCCGAGGAGGAGTTGAACCCGCAGTGGAGTATATTTAGATGCCTCACCCAGAACACGCGAGGAAACTAGGAGGTGAATTTTGGATCTCTCGCCCTGGGCCTCTTTGAAGACTTCGAAGCATATGTCTGCACAAGCGGAAATTTTGGATCAGCTTGGGATTGCTGGGGGCTGGCTAGGTTTTCAGCAAGAGCTTCTGCTATTTTGTGTGGAAGTGTGCTAAGCGGGAATGGATAGGCCGCTATCATTGCACTGTCGGGGAACAGGCTTTCTGAATCAGATATAAATTTTGAAAGCGGTATTAAAATCTGTTGAACTTCTGTGATATATCAATGAAGAATACCCAGCACCTGTCATCAAGTCAATGTTGACAGCACAGTTGCAACCAATGGTAGTTACCCAGCCATGTTCACATCCCAACTTTTCCAAATTCTGCCGGGGCATTAATGCCAGTTCCAAGGGGCAGCAACAGCAGCAGCAGCAGCATCTCACATAATTGCAAGTCTGCATACAGGGCCTCCTGACTCGCGCGCCCTTGACAAAAAGCAAAAAGCGAACAAAAAAAAAAAAAAAACCAAAACCCCAAGTTTTGGGCGTAAAGGCTGGATTCCGAATTGCATTGTGCGGGCCGATTTATGGAGTAATTAAATTCAAAGCTGTGGATGTATGTTATGGGAAGAAGTGGGCTACCAAGGGGTAACCACTACGGATATGAGATGAACCTTTGGAAATAAGAGTTGTCCTGAAAACAGGGTGCCAACCCGCTTTCAATCCTGGAACAGCGAGCGGGCTTCCCCTGAGGGAACCATCGAAAACTGCCCTTCATACAAAACGGACGAAAAAGCATAAGAAGGGCGGCTAGAAAAATAATACATGATTGATTTATTTATTAATGCTGTATGGAGTATTCGAAATAGACAACAAAAAATAGGCCTTCCAACAGGGCAGGGAGGGAAAAACATAGGAAAAATACAAAGGAAAAAACACAACAACAATCATCTTCATCATGATTAACCCTTTCTCTCCTCTTAAGTTCTAGTTTTCTGAAGATCATCTTCGCTCTCTTTCTCTCGCGAAGAAAAGAGCCATGTTCAACCATTCAAAACTCTTTGGTGCAAAAAGAAAGCAGAAAGAAAAGAAAAAAAAAAATCATAAATCCCATTAAAAGATTTGCTCATGAAAACAAAACAAGACCCCTTCAGTAAAATCCCACATCATAGCAATAGAGCACAGCAGTGCACCAGATTTCCCCAACCAACCAAACAATCAGCCCCGTAAACCTATTGCCCCCATTTGCAGTCCGCTTCTCATGGCAGCAACTGGCGGGAGGGGAAATCAAAAGAAAGAAAGGAAAAGAGAAGGACAAAACAGAACCAACGAAGGCCTTCTCTGCTGTCCGGGGAAAGTTGCTGAAACAGATAGCCCAATTTGGCCTGTAAATAAACGCTGGGACCGGTATGCCAAGTACAAATCGAATGTATGTTCATGAGGTGGGTAACTTAAGAAAAGGGGGTTTGAAAAAAAAGACAATCACACGTCAAGCAAAAAAATAAAATAAAATAAAATAGAAAAAAAAAATTCTATAAATGCTCATGATAATGCGAGTAAGAAAAACACAAGCTTCAAGAGAGTAGCGTAGCGAAATTGAAGAACTATACAAGCTCTCCTTTTCCCACATATCCACCATCCGTTTCTTATATAAAAAGCAACTTTCCATGTGCTTAACGTAATGAAGAACACACACATAAAAAAAAAAAAAAAAAAAAAAAAAAAAAAAAAAAAGGCTCCGCCGGTTTCTGTATCTCCTCCCGTAGTCTTAAAGTCTCCTTGCAAGACAGATTAGAGCAGGTAAAAGCTGGGGAATACGCTGTTAAAGACTTCATTATCATACCACGGGTTGTTTGCAAATATATGTTAGATGTTGGTTTGAGCGAAGTTGCAAGAACGCATAGCTATAGGGGCGATTCGGTAGGTATTTCTATGGGTAGCTTGCATGAGCGCTAAATTCGAATGAGAAGAACACCGTACAGTGGCAAAGTAGCGGCGGCATTGTATTATTAACAAGTGGAAATTTTCACCTTAACCGATTAATCGAGGTTGAGATGTGCGGTATATTGGGGGTCAGGTAATTAGGAAGTCCGCGGGCCGAATATGATCCAACGGACAAACTACAACTTCGCCGACATGATGTTTAGATCTCATATCGACGGAGCAGGTGTTGAAAAAGTGAGGACAAAAAGGAAGAAGGTATCCAACGTCGTCATTAAAGTTATATATGTCTTTCGAAAAGAATTCGCTCAAAACTGCAAAAAGGGGCTCCAGAATATGCCGTGAATCATTATAAAAGAAATCCCGCTATTACTTCAAATGCTGTTTATCGGCAAGGGTCCGCTGCCGAGTCTAGGTTGCTTCTTCGGAAAAGGGGATGATAATCGAAGGTCGCTTTTATATTAGCGACCTGCTTCAAGATCGGAGTTGGCGCCTAACGTCTCCCCATCCCAGAGGGATTGAGCTTCGTCCACAGGGCTTAGCGAACCAGATGATATGGAGGAAGAAGATCCCATTGCCCATTCGTCGTTATCGTGATGTATATCAGCATTCAGGTTTGCCAAGTCATAGCCATGTGTACTTGGCGATTCCCCGATCTCCACATAATCGTAGTCCCACCTGAATGACTTGTCATTCTGAATTTGTGGGATGAATCTTGACTTTGCGAAATAGAAAGAGACAGCCGCTAGGAGGCCACCACCTATCAGATCCACTGCGTAATGATGCGAAAGGTACATCGTGGACCACCACAGCCAGGCGGTGTAGATGATAAATGCTGGTCTAAGTTTGGGGAATATAAGGCTCAAAAATAACGATTCGAGAGTTGCGTTTCCAGCATGTAGGGATGGAAAGGCGCCAAACGGTACCGGTGATGCCTTGAAACCGGATGTGTATAGATCTATACCGAAAATTTCATCGATTCGGGCCAGTCCACCGGGAGATCCGGGAATTCCGTAGTGGGCGGGGGCTAAACCATAGAGATTCTCGTACCAAGGGGGAGAACATGGAAACAAAAATTGTATAGTGACTGCAGTAATACACATGAATCCAAAGGTTCGAGCGAATATTGGAGTCATCCCAGGGGGTCCGAAGATAAATATAATTATGGCGCAAAGCGCAGGGGAAGCGTAATGCATGATTCCGTACGGAAACCAGGCCAAAATATCTAGAAAGGTACTCTGGCGAGCGGAGAGAATATTGCTCAAATTGGCACCGTAAAAGATGTTTTCTAGCGCTGGAAGGACCCGCACCCATATTGGGGGCCGCCAGTCGCTGGGAATAAATCTGTTGGGGGAAGGGTAACCGCATTAGTAACACACACATCGATTTCACAGTGCAAGTAACATTTTTTTTTTTTGAACGCCGTCGCCAAAACCCAAACCAGCATGCCATGGGGTTAAAAGAAAAATTTGTAACTGAGGGAGAAACGTACTGGCAAGCGTAGAAATATATGAGCCATGCAGCAATAGGGAGGAACGGCAGGAAGAATTGACAGGTGACCGGGAAAATTAAGGAGGTTATCAAGGCAAAGGAGACTAAGGTCTTGAGAAAGGGGCCTGGCGATTCCATGACGCAAAGAGAAAAGATGCCCAAAAGGAGAAGCACCAGGTACTGTCCATCATATATGGTCCATTGATGAGCTTGTAGGGTCTTTAGGGTGTCCAGGGGGGAGGCCGAGGTGTTAAGGGACGTTATTGCAGAGGTGGCGGAGACGCGACTTCGTAGCTTTGACCGTAGTTTCCGGCGCACGCGGTGCGGAAGAAGCATTTGTAGAGATCGCCATGGCATTACTATCTGAACTTTTCCGAGATAGTTTTGCGAATTGTCCTTCCATGAGGCCATTGCAGGGTTCATCACACCTGCCATATTTACCGAGAGCCGCTGGACCAGTCCCAAGAACAATTATAGGTTGGACGGATGAGGGACCAGAACAGGCTCACAGCCAGTGAAGGCAACGAGTAGGGAAATCTGTGACGTTTGTGGACGATGCAGACAGCACAGGACGTATGGGAAGGAGTTTCAACAGCTGGTGGACGAGAAGCGCCTGCGACCCGAAAAGCGGAGAAGGAAACAGGAGAGGGAAGCTGAGATCAGGATGGTACCGAGCAACAGACGTCAGTAATGGAAGAGATACTCAGCACAAGGGCGAGAGAGAGAGAGAGAGAGAGGTAGAGAGAGAGAGATAGAGAGAGATAGAGAGAAGGAAGAGGGAAAGGGAGGGAGAGAATAGCAAGGAGAAAATGGGTGGCTAAGGCTAAGAAGGAAGATGAAGCTGAAGGAAACGAGAGAAAAGCAGCGGAGGCTTGGATGAGGTATTGTGGTATTTTTGACAGTATTGGCATGGGTTAGCTGGGGCCGTGTGGATCGCGGCTGCTGATTGGTTTAAAATGTAATATTACAGTATGCTACGGTAAGGTTAATTACTGTGGAAAGATTGGATCGTACTAAACGTATTTATCAGCATGAAATACTACAATAGTACAAGGTATCATACAAAACCATACCGGCCGCGGATGAATGGCGGAAACATCGGGGTTCAGGGGTTTGTCGTATTGTGCTTGTTCTATTTCGTATTGTATTAACGTCCATCATATTCCCTCTTTAGTGAGCAGAAATGATCACAACAGAAACATTAATACATGGAAATAAAACGTGGATGAATAATGTTGCTCGTGATGTCTATATCAAACCTATAATCATCTCAGTCACTTTACTTTGAATTGCTGAAGTATCTTGATTTCTTTATGAAAGATGAAATGTGTCAAGCTATCTACACTGCTCATTGTCAATGCTGAGAAAGAATCCAAAGAAGTGTTTAGTGAAGTTTATGAGAAAATGATTGATTCCACTTTCACTAATTACCCCAATATCCCAGTCCGCATGTTGATGATCATTGTATATGCCGCTGTGCAAAGGAGGCATGGCTCACAGAGAAGGACAGTCCAAGTCTCATCAGAAATGTGACGGTGTAGTTAATCCAACATCCCAGCAGCCTGCCTATTCTCAGAGTTGGCGGACCCGTTTCCAATCTTATATGCCCGCACCAAGATCCTCAGCCCTTTTAAACAAGAGACACAAGAGTCAACAAGCTCTAATGCCTCATGGGAGAGAACAATGGTAGATCCACAAGTTCCTAACCTCGACAAGTCGGTTTCGCTTCATCTTCATAGGAGACTCGAGAGAGAGTTTCAATGCCCAGTCGACCAGAGCGATTCCCGGCAATATGGACATCCAGGTCGGTTAGATCCTAGGGTGCGCGCAGCGGACAACAAAAAGCGTCCATGCTCGAGCTAGCTAAGCAATCCGTTCGTTTCGCCAATAGGGCGCCAGCTCGCGGGTCAGGGATCTCGTTTCGCTCTCTTTGGTTTGGCCAGGCAGCTTCCTGCCGACTTCGTGCTTGCTTTTGCTCGTTCGAATGATCCACCATATCCTGGGTTAGAGTTAAATGAGGCGCTTGGCACTATTTTGTGGCTTTTCGGATTATCGGGTATTTTGATTACGGAGAACTAGATGGGGGGTTTCGGCGTTCATAAAATTATTCATAAAAGTTTCTGACTTATGGGCATATTTCTGCAGCTTATTATGCATGTGGAGACGGCACATCCATTGGTAAATATGGTTGCCGGTTCCCGAACAAGGTTATGTTTTTTTCTGGATTGACATATTTCTTCCTCCCGGCCGGTGTGCATTTTCTTTCTGCTGCAAGTGAAAGAGAATTTTTGGAGAGCAATTTGAAAAGGCTTGGGACGACAAAAGGAACCAATGAATCTGCTTGACAAACAACTGACACAAAACTACGAAAAACTTCATGCCAATACCATCCCGATTCTTCGAATATCCCATTGGGATGGGATGGGGGGGGGGGGGGGCTTTCAGCATTTCTTCACACCCGTACTACGTTGGACTCTATATTTAAGTTCCCCGATTCTTCTGCCCCAGTGGTCCAGGTCAGATTCTCAAGGACGGAATCTCAGATGTGAAATAAAATGTATCCTGCTTGCTGAAGAGTCTCATAGCATTGAGAGATACTGCTATGCCCCCAATTGTGCATTGACGCCAAGGCTAAAGACCCCCTTTATTAACTTCGCGCTCGACTTACATCCCTCAATTCACACAAATGGCCCTTCCCAATCTACCACAATAGGTCAAAGAGCTCGAAGCCGTTCCAATATCGTCTCGGGTGGATCCTTCGAATCAATTTCGCTAAAACGCCCGCTATCCCTTTAAGAACTTCGCTTCGTGGTTAGCAATCCCTCCTGAAGCATTGGTTGGGGTTGTGGGAATATCTTCCACCACCACCGATGATTCAGGTGTATTCGCATCCATCACATCCGGTGTCTTCTATTATTAATATGTTGTTTGCAAGCTCCATACGATCCTCTCTCACAAATATGAAATCACCCCTCGCCCACGCCGGGACTGCCCAGCGCAATTTCCTTGGAACGAAATTCCCAGAAAAACAACATGCGGGACGCCGCTTAAAACATGATCTTCGTGGCCTCGACGTATATCTCGATATCCTGTGTTGCTCTGGGCTTCGGATGCTACCCCAGCGTAAAAGTTGGCCAGCAAATGAGTCCATGACAGAACGGTTTGTTTTAGCCGGTTGGGGTTTGGGTGCATCTTCTTATGCGCCGTCTCGAGCAACAGGGCAAGTGGGAAACGCCCATCTCGCTCGTTTTCATTGGGATGAGCAGTGAAAGATTCCAACGGCAAATTCATGTGGAAAAGAGAGCAGGCTTAAGATCAACAGAAGAAGGGTGGGATAGTAGTCAACTTTCAAGGGCTTTTGCTGTGGTCATTTTCGACTCCCTTCAAGAGGAATATACCGCGAAACAACGATAATGGGGCTTTGATGTCAATGAAATAATGGTATGCCTTCCTTACAGCTTTTCTGCAGGTCAGCGAATCCTGAAGATATGGATTCACTATATTTAAGTTATGAGTGATGGGAGGTTCGCATATCTTTGCTCCTTCATTGTGGTATGCTTGTCTGGGGATGTTAAGAACAATTCCATTGTGCGGCTTCAAGTCCCAAGGCCTTCCCTCCCTTTATGGTAATTTCGTTTTGACTTTGATGGCAGCTCAAAGCGAGAAACATGTTTGCGGCGGTATCGACTTTTGTTTACATACCTGAACATCCCCGGTGGTATTGAATAAAGGACTTGGTAAACCTTCAAGACTGCGCCTTCGGTAGGCTTGGCAATGACATCATCTCCTCCAGCATGGGATTCGATATAACAGCGACAGCAGAATCGAAAGCAACAGATTCTTTATGCCTGTCTTCCATCTGCAGAGATACTTTTGTACTGTCATGTCCTGTACAATCATACATACATACAAGCGTACATCCTAACACTGGTGAAGAGGCTTCTGCAATGCAGCCAACACCCTGGCAACTCAGCCACGCTACAACTAACTCATACGTTACAAACTTCCAACAAAGGGCCATTATCTCGGTCCAACTTCCGACGATCCGACCCAACGCAATGCACCCATGTCTAAATAGTATGGAGGGCACATGGTACGTAACTCCATACGGCCAATGAATTTTTGCTTCGAGAGGGGGGGGGGGGTCCTCCCATCCATTCCATCTATCCCAATCCTCCAGGTATTGTACTCATCCACGCCTCTACCTAACCTTAACTTACTACAATCATCACGTGTAGGCAGCGACAATCCCACTTGATGCAGTAGACACGTCAAACAAACCCAAAACCATGCAAGACATCATTCCACTAGTAAATTCCGCACCTTGATTGGGCACGACTCGATTATTCCGCAAAGAGCTTAAAATAACCCACCAGGGTTGTTATCTCCGCCGCTGCCGGCTAAGGTGACCGACCGACTTACACGCTCAAGCATACTGAGATTATTTTTTTGGGATAAATTAGATTTTCCTCAGCAGGTCAAGATGTCAGGTGTCCGTATGGCTGGATTTATTTTTGTACACCCACGCAAATGAATAAGGCAACCCGTAAAACCAGCACAGACCATCATCCTCACCATCCTACGCGGTTGAGGGGGGGTGGGATAAACCCCATCCTGAAACACCAGCGGACTGTAATATCCGAGAAAAGCCCATTCCTTCTTCCTCTTGTATGGAAATATTTGTCAAATAAAGATAGAGAGCGGCAAAATTAATAATAGGAATTACTAATCATTTGCACGATCGTCACGCGATATATGTTTCTGGTTGCTCTGTGTTTATGCGCTATGTCATGAATTAGCTGTTCTTCTTCATGGCTGAAGCGGGATCTACTCTATAGTGGAGTTCTCGAGCATCATTGCGGGGTAGTTTTTGGCTTCAGTAGCAGCGCCTCCAAAACGCTACCAGTCTCCAGTCTCTCTCGTTCTACATCATACAAACATACATGTATGTAAAACAAAACACATGTCGTGGAAATTACAAAGTCCGGTAGCCGAGGAAATTTGATATTGACTGGATAGACAGAGCTAATATTTCGCCTCGCTTGCTGGCGTCGAGATTTCAATCAGCCACAGTCAAGCCATGATGTGCTCACACATTCAACAGAAATCAACGAAACTGGGAGGTAAAAGATTTGGTAATTCGGTTCCAGCTTACGAGGACAGACTGGAGTCTAGTTGGTATAAATCAATTTATTTTAAAAAATGTGTCGACGGCTCAAGTCTGTCGCTATGGGATATGTTTTGACTACATTTCTAACATATCTGAAGCAAGGACAAATTCTTGCAATATCTACTTCAGAAACATAACGGATCAACGGGATATTCATTGACAATCTACACATGATGTCTGTGGTGGATCTTCCCCTCATTCACTGATGAAACTCGCTGGAATCCTGCATTGTATGAGATGACCCCATCCCGTTTGGCGTTTCTTTCCCTTGAATAATAAAGAAGCTCGGTTCCATTTTAACCAGGGGAGAGATATGCCCGGAATGAGGGACTTCATAATTCTACCAAGGAAAATTCAGGATGTCAATTCTCCTAAACTCCGGACACTCCGCACATTGCTTTCTCAAGCAATATTGTCTCCTGGTCCGTTGCGTGATGTCATCGCAGATGGCTCGCTGTTCCTTGCTCATGTCCACAGGCCATGACTATGAGAGAGAGTGAGTGAGTGGGAATAGCTCCCGTTCTCGGAAGACTGGATGGAGAGGCTTTCAAGCAAATGGCAGCAGGAAATTGTTCAAGGCCCAAATAATGCGAGCTGATGATGAGAAAACCTTGGCATATTAGCAGTAGCTAAGCCCCAAGTTAGTAGTAGACTATGTATCGAACGTAATATCGGTATTTATCTATATCTAATACTCTCCTAAGAGAATACGTAGCAACTTGACCTAATCTATGCAGAGGTGTGGGTGATGCTAGTATAAGTGAGATATAAGAGGAAAGATCAAACACTATCGGAAGAAATTGAACATTCCTGTGCAGTTCTTTTGACATCTCTGTTTGGTGCACTGATGAGAATGAGACTGGCAAGCAATGCCAATGAGAGCAGGACGATTTATGTTGTCTTCCAGGAAAAATGTTAAAAGGAGCTGTCAGATATGTCTTCTATATAAAAGAAACTGTGCCCACCCGCCGCCAGATCTCAGCCAAACTCTCATATAGTTATATGGTGTGTATAGAACATCCATACAAATCATCCACCATAGGAATGTGCAAGAAAAAAGTGAAAGCGTCTGTATGTATGAAAAAGAAGAAAAGAATCCAAGGAATCACCCCGTGCCATATCCCCAACGTATATGTATATACACCAGTGCACATATACTCACATAGCATCATCACTCCATTACCTTCAAAGCCAATTACATTCAACTGGCCAGGACATCTAGGAGCAATATGATTGGATCATCGCAACCCCAATAATCTTCTTGGTCCAATCATAAGACTTCTTCTTCTTATGACTCGTCTGAGATTTCGCCCATGAGCTTAAAGGCCATTTCTAAATCTTTGGGCCTTAGTTGCTTGCAGTCGTCCATGTCAATGTCGCCATGGTCATCGATGTCGAAGTCGAAGGGGGAGTTGCCGGACTGGCGTTACGCCCGTCGTCGCCGCGTCTGGCAACATTTTTGGTTGAGCCGAGATTATTGCTGCTGTAGTTGGGGAACGTGTTACACATGGTGGTTGGCGGCGCTCACCCCTGGGAACAGGTGGGTCTCCGTGAAGGTGAGGTAGGGGAGGAAGTGAGGCGGCATCTTGGATGAGTGGCTTCCATCCCAGGGTCTGAATTTGGAGGAAGTAAGTGGAATGGAGATAGAGAGAGGTAATGAGGAGTTTGTTGGAGAGGTGTATGCTCCTTTCCGGCGAGGAGGGATCGCTTTTTGCTCAGCTAGGTATCTTCGTTTGCAGCTGTTACTGCTGCGGCTGCTGGTTCTGATGAAAGGATGCAGATTTCAAGGGAGGAAGAAGCATCCGTATATAACTTATCATCTCGACAACTCGCGAATGTGAATCACCATATCCTCTCTTTCCTTCAACCCCTCATATTGTGATATCCATACTATTCAAGGTATTATGCCATCATGATGTTCACATCATGATGCGAAGGAACTCTATCACGTATTCCGATACTGCATCGAGCCCGTCCCCATCCCACCACAGCGAACGACACTCGTGTTTCTCATTTCGGAAATCTTGAAGCTAGCTACGGATTTCCGCCAAGTTTTATATGCGATGCTCCTAGAAATTTTGTTCCCGCTTTTCAATGAAACTTGAAATTTGAAACCAGAGGGCCGTTGTGTCAGGGCATGCTGCTTCAAGAAAAGGATCGTTTAGAAGAAGATTGACTCGTCGTATTTGGCAAAAGTCGACTTGCATGCTTGAATCATGTATTTTCACGAAACTTCGATGTGACATGAATAGATATATTGGGCCCCCGGGCACATCAAATATCTGGAAGAAAGCGGCCCTGCACCATCTAACCCCTAGAGGAAGCATATATTCTTCATATATGAAACTAAACAGAGGGTGAGTTCACAAATCATCCTCGAACTCCCCGTCCCCGTCCCCGCATCCCAAATTCCTTATCTCTATTTCAGCAAAATTCCACCCAAGCCCTGAGATGGAGAGGCGGGCGGCAAGAAATGCGACAAACTTACACTAAAAAGCAGTCAATGGCCACATCAATCATCAAAATTATAAGAGTTTTCATCCTCATCCAACATTAACTATATATACATATATATACATAGATTTATATGCATCAATAACTGCCCAAAAAAAAACTGGTGTAAGAGGAGAGAGTGAAGCACCAACATACATACATCATCCATAGAGGAGAGGCACACCAGAACACCTAAAGATTTCCTCTTAATTATTAATGGCAACAGCCGTCGTTTTCCTTTCGTCTTCTTCCTCACTTCTTTCAAGGATCGCGTCCAACCCCCGTATATCCAAGCAAAAAACGAAGTGAGGTCGTTCCGCTAAGCAGGACTTGGGGGCAAGAGAGAAACCCTGGGAAAAGAACCTTCACTGCCTCAACTAAATAGAAGAAGTTCTTCCGCCCAGAGAAAAAGAAAAAAAAAAAAAAAAAAAACCCATGTCGTAAATCATAACAAAGACACAAGAAAACAAATATATAGCTTTATAATTTTTTTTACTCTTGACTTTAACGTTTCATCATGTATCACGAAACTCATCTCTTCAGATCTTCTCCCGATTCCCCGCATGCCCAACATTATCGCCCTTATCATTATAATTCCCATTCCCATTCCCACTACCCTTCTCATCACCGCTAGGAACGGAACTCAATGACACCCTCACCTTTCCTTCTCCATGCGCCTGGGCCTGGGCCTCAACATCCCCCCGCTTATCCCCCCGCTTATCCCCAGCCTCAACAACCCCAGCAATCTTCGCCGCCTCAAACTTCCTCCCCCTCTTCTCCGGCCCAAACATAGTCGTAACCACAATCCCCATCACGATAATAGCAGTCGCAACTCCCATCGTCGGCCCATATGCCGGCTCCAGCTTCCCTCTCGACCCCCGCACACTGATAGATTCGGCAACGACATTAACAATCTGCGCTGACGGTGACGAAATCATATTCCCAATCTGATACGTGACGCCGGGGAAGCTGGAGCGGAAGGCCGGCGGGGATAACTCGTTGAGATGGATGGGGATAACGCCCCATGCGCCCTGGACGAAGAATTGCATGAAGAAGCCCGTCACGGATAGGCTCCGTTCGCCCTCCGGAAGGATCCAAGCTGCGATTAGAATGCCGCTCATGAGCGCGGAGACGATTATGGAGCGCCGTCGGCCGACGAATTGAGAGAGGTAGCCGACCACAGTGCCGCCAACGCACGCGCCGGCTTTCATGAGGATGCTTGCCCGACTGGCTTGGGAGTTATTCAGCCCTTTCTGCGTGAGCATGAAGGTTGTATAGCTATCCTGTGAGGTGTGGCTGTAGTAGTTGAACCAGGTCATGAGGATGATGCAGTAGACGACCATGCGCCATTCATTGACGAGCATCATCCGCGTCTCGTGCCAGAACGCCCCGGGCGGTTTGCCGTGTTTGCCAGCTTTTTTGGCTTCGCGGAATTGTTTGGATTCCGGGAGGAAGATGCGAATCACACCTGCGAGTATGGAGAGGCCTGCCGCGATCCAGAAGACAGTTTTCCAGGAATCCGTTGAGCCACCTACGCCTAGATTTGCGCAGGCTGCGAAGACATAGCCCATCGAATAGCCTTGTTGGAGAACGCCGGACATCAGCCCGCGGGCGTTAACCGGGCAGTTTTCCAGGGCCATGGCGATGGCGTTCCCATACACACCACCCATGAAGAGGCCGAAGAGACTGCGCACGGCGAGGAACTGCTGGAACGTGGTGCTGTAGATGGTTGCAATCTGCAAGAAGCCCAGGACAAGCATGTTGACGACCATGGGCCACTTGCGGCCCCACTTGTCACCCGCAAGCCCGAAGAAGGCAGCGCCGACCGATCGAAGCAGGAGGGTCAGGGTGATGGCAGTGGAGATCGATGTTTTGGATTGTCCGTAGTACTTGGACAGCTTGACGGTTTGAATGGAGAGGGCGTGGAAGTCGAAGGCGTCTGCAATCCAGGCGAAGAGACCGACGGCGAAGTAGAGCCAGTCTCGACCGGTGAGCTGGGCACAGAGGCTGAAGGGGTTTTTCAGGGCGGGGGGGTTCTGCCATTCGCAGTAGGATTCGCCGGAGGAGTTGATTACTTCTACACGCATTCTCCAGTGGAAGAGGTCCGTCCAGGCCTGTTTGGCGGTGGGGATGATGCCCCTGGCGACAGGGTCGGCAGGCTGGTTGCCGGACATGGTGGTGGAGACTTGGTGGGAGGAGGAGCTCCCTTTAATGTCGACTGATGCCCCTTGAAGGAAGAGTTTGGGAGATTATGGAAGGCTGGCTACCAACCAACCCCGTGTGGCCAACGAGGCGAAGACGAAGACGATACGGGCGAGGGTCCCTAGGTATCCAAAAACGAGGGATGTCGTGGGACTCGAAGAGGGTTGGGAGAAGGTCGTTTGTTCAAGGCGGAGAGTATACCTGGGGTGCAGTGCTCCGTACGAATGAGTGGATACATGCGATACACGCAAGAAAACGGGGGTAACGTGACGGATAACCAAATCGGTGCGGAGAAGAAGTTGACATGGGGAAGGAACGAAAGAATAAGACGGAGGGAAAGAGAGACAGAGGGAAAGAGAGACAGAGGCTCGGGAATGTCCCTTCCGAACGTGGGTCGGTGAATGATGTAAATATTGAATTCCTTCAGGGAAGCTACGTACGAGGAGCGGGGCCAGCGGCTGTTGCCAAATTAAGGTTACGACAGTCTGGGGTTCTCCAGTCCAAACCAGCGCCTGCAGGATCAAACGGCTCCGAACCACGGGTCGAAAAGGCCGGGAAGAGGTCAAAAATGGAGTCAGAAGGAACGAACAGAGCAAGGACAACACCACCACCCTCACCCACACGTGATCGACGACGGAGCGTGGGCAGAGTCAAACGCCGCCAACGTGCAGTGGGCGGTGGACACGAGAAGTCTTATATGGCGAGCGAAAAAAATAAATAAATAAATAAATAGATTAGCTATGATGGATGCTCAAAACAGTTACTACTGTAGATTATGGACTCTCTTTTCACCCTCGATTCATATCTCGCATTACGGACAGAGCCGGGAATCATTTCCGTCTGTTGCTCGTCCGCTTGACGTCTCAAGCTAAGTGATAATCGATAATCTTGCAGTACATTATCATGGGACTGCAATATCTCTGTTTTGTCGGCGCAACACTGCTGCAGTTAGGGAGAACCAAGCTCCCAGCCAAAGAGAACAAGGTTTACTTGAAGTCCAGTCCCCACCCAACGGAACCCCAGATTGCTCGCTGCGGGACCGGATCTAAGAAAATCCTTGGGCAACCCTGGGCGAAAGAACCAACCAGCCATCGCCATTCCCGCGCCCTGGGGTGCCCATCATTGGCTGCTTTGCCCAGGGACACAGGGATAACCCATCGACGTATGCGGGGGAGTCGATCCCTCCCGTCCTTGGGCAATTCTTGTTTTTTTTTATTTTTTTTTTTTTTTTTTTTTTTTTTTTTTTTGTTGAAAAGCCTAAGCTTAAGCATTTTGGAACTCCCTGACTGGGATTCAAAGGACAGTGCATGGAAATCATAGCTGATAATGGCATCTTTCAGTTTCACAAAGTTTCACAGTTTCATAAGGCATATACCGATTTCATATATACTATCAAAATAGGTGCAATTCTATACAATGGGGTGGGTATCTTGTTTTCAGAGTTTTCGGGAAACATGTTGGAATTGAACGCTTTGGTGAGGGTGAAAGCAGAAGTGAAAGTGAAAGTGACAGCGAAAAGGCACGAATGGAAAATAAAGACAAAGCATGCTCCACATGTCATATCGCAATGCCCGCGGTCAAAACTGTCTAGGCATCCTGTCCCTGGCTGCAATGACGTGTAGATGTGCCTGCCCTTAATAAGAAAGTTAGCATGAGTTTGCTACAGCAATAATGACTAACAACAACAATGGCAGAAGATATAGAGTGATTCCCCATGGCTATCGCGATGAGGGTGCGAGGAAGAGGTGGAAGATACATTCTTTGATAATTCAATGAGAAAAAAAAAAAAAAAAAAAAAAAAAAAGAAATACTTACATAAAAATGAAAGGCCCCAATTCTCCTCCAGGTGGGTAGTTTTTACTTGCCGTTCCCGTTGTTGTTGCTGAATCCATTGTTCCACCACCTTCGCTTGTATGCGGGAAATGTGCTGTGATTCCAGATGTTGACCAGGACACTATTGATATGGCGAGAAGAGATTTGTAAATAATAGTGACCAAAATATATTCTCAAGTGGTATACCTCGTTGAGAGTAGAGATTTGTGGACGTGAGTTGGGGTAACTTGACGTGATTGGCATTTCAGGAGCAATAAACAAACGAGCGCGAGGACCCGGTCAAGGAAGGGATAAAATGTTGACAGGACCGTATTAAGATAAAGGAAAAGAGAAAGCAAACCCACACATACCTCTGACTGATATCCTTGTACTTCTCATCATTCAACTCCTTGATACCAACCTTCAACCCGTCCCGTGACATCATCACGTTTTTCTTCTCCATTTTCTGCTTCGTCTGCATCTTGACGGCCATCACGATACTCCACGTCACGAAGAGGATAACTGCCAGAAAGCCGACGACGATGAATAGGATTAAGAGGGGGATTAGTCGGTTTGATGGCATGATTTTTATTTATTAATTTCTTTCTTTCTTTCTTTCTTTGGGTTTAGTTTTATGCTTGGTTGAGGTTGTTTGATCGGCGCGTTTCGTGCGGAGGTATAGCCCGGCAGATATTTACTGTTGGGGGAAATGGTAGAACAGGAATGAGGGAAATAACTGAGATTTATTGATTGACGGTGTGGATCCGGCGGGGTTATTTTGTATAGGGCTGGGTTCGGGGGCTGGAGGACGGAGAGGAGGTGAGAAAACTCTATACAGGGGAAAGTCGATACAAAGCCGAGAGTGTATGGATGAAGAGGGCCAAGCGAAGGATATGAAGGTTAAACGAGAGAAGTGGATGAGTTCCTGGTGTGAGGAGAAGTGAAGTAGAGCAATACATGTGAGATCTTCATGCAAAGCTCTGGGAGGAAGCAGGATCGGTAATTGCACACGGGGCTATTCAGGTTATATTTACGACTTTATCCATGGCTGGCGCTAGGTTTCGAGTTGCCTGCTCAACTGAGGGGGAAAAAAAGGAGGTCATGGCAGGTGGTGAATGAGAGAACGGGTGAGTGGGTGGGTGAGTGAGTATGAGTCCCGAGGCGGCGTCGCCGGGGCTAGCCATGTGCATGTTTTTAAGCCCGTTTGCATAACTAATACGACGCTAACTGCTTCCTGGGTTTTGCGAATGTTGGGCAGGATGGATTATTTGAAAGGGGGCAAAGAACGGGAGGAGCAGTCGTCCAATTTACAGGCTTTCTAGAAGCAAACGTCAACAGCAACCTATTGCTGTAAGAGCCCGCTATGATTGGTTTGGATAAGCCTTATTTGTCGAGGCCCTCCGTAGCCTGAACAGCCAAATGCGCAGTTTGTGATCCCTAAAACGTCACCGCTGTGGCTTTGTCACCTGGCGTTGAGCCACATATGTCAGAACCTTGATCAT